ACTTAGATCATAAAATTTTATTTACAACTACGGGAACCAAGCTGCCCACTAGAAGTAAAACGCAAGAAAGTGATGCTCAAAAACTAAGGAACAAAATATTGCCAAATAATTAAATTTGATAGGAGTAGATGCGTTACAATCACGTCTAATGAAGACATCAAGTGTGTTGCAAGTAAAAGACGCCCTGGCTACGAAATAAGTTACAATTGGGCCATATCGCTGATGTGTTATCTAATGACTGAAGTTTATTCAAAATAATAAAAAAAAAATTCCAGAGAAATAATGTAAGAAAAAAGTTGCAATTTGCTACGACAATCAAACAAACAAAAAAAAAGAAGCAAGCCTAGTTGAATGACTTATGGTGATTGCACTTTCTACAATCATCCCATTTTCCCCACCGTTTTTCAAGGTTTTCTTTACATCAATCTTCAACATATTATGGCCACACATGATGTATCACATGTTTGAAAGGGAGTAGGTGAGCACAGGTAGCCACACTTCACTATGACTCGTCGCAAAAGTAACTTCTCTCCTTCACAAAAATATGAATGAGTCCCTTCATCAAAAACGTTGCCGAAATCCTTGTACTGTTATTATAGTCCAACAGTCCATTATTTTATTTTAGATTGAACTATATACAAGTCTATTTTTTATGACATAAGCTTTCCAGCCTCTCCCAGCTTGAAATGTCATTCAACACACGTGGTACTGCGCGCTTTATCATCCGTTCACTCCTGCAACTCTGGATTGCCTACAAGTCGAAGTAGCTTAGTTGTATAAAGTTAGAACAATGTTATACATTTTGGGAATATTATATTTGGTCCGAATATTGCCGCTTGAATCACAAACCAAAGTCAACGGCAACCTATACTCTAGCTTAGCGAAGGTTCTCCTTGAACATTTTTTCAAAGAAATAAACTTTTGATGGCTGCGCCACATGTCACATTGGATGTAATGAAATATTCTGAAGACATTTCGTTGTCAAAGTGGTTTGTAGGAATTACCTAGTAATCAAATACAGCATGATGTAATAAAGTATCTTTCAGCCGACACTGGGCAATTTTTTACGCCTTAACCCACGAATCTCAGCTGAGGCACCGTTGCACATTACTTACATAAAGTCTCTCTCTAATTCGAATACTAAAGCACACTCTTCAAAACCTCGTAATCTCTGGTACAAAACTCATGTAAGAAACACCGTTCAGTCCTTCTCTTACAATGATTTAGGTTGTGTTTCTATTAGCCAATCTAAATCCTGATTTTCCGATCCACATAAAATTTTGTGCTTCAAGGACAAAACAAGTTTAAGACTACAATCAGGACGATCTCCCTCCGAACTTGGATCGCGCGGGTCGGTAGATCACTTTTGATCCCGATTACGTGGTGGACACCATAGCGATTAACATGGCGGTTCAAAAAATGAAAAGTGAGCCATTTTCATTTTCAAGTCAGCCCAGGTTCTTGAACACTGCTGCACTCCTCCAGAAATCTTTAAGATTATGGAAGTTGAACTTGAATGTTAAGAGTAAAACAAAGAAGTTGAAAATTCTCCCAGTTAAGACGGTAAACAGCATTTAATTTTTTCATACGGCGTAAGCATCCGCCCGAATTTGCAACATTTGTGTGAGTTTTGCAAAGCTTCTCAAGCATTACAAAAATGAGCAAGTCATCCATTTTCATGATGTTTTTTCCTTGTTTCTCTATTTTCGTTAACAAGTTCTTCCAGCAAGGAGTAAAAGGCTGAGGGTAATCTACAGAAACCGCCATCATGTTTTACTCTTGGTATTTAAAAGAACCAGCCTGTTTGCCGCATGGATCGATTTCTTTTCAGATTTTTGTTCCGACTGGCAAAAAAATCCAAACAATCCTGATAGTCTAAATCCAAATATGTTGCACATTGTTGATTGCCGACCTTATGACAGCCTAGGTGACGTGCCAGGTTATTCCGAATGTGTGTTGGGGTGGATTCCGGTGACCCCCTTTGAAAATAAGGATTTTCTGCTGATTTAGAGTTGCTACTCTCTGACATTTCTTCCAAAGACCTGAAGTAATTTTGATATTTGTAATTTTGTTTTAGAAAACCTTCAAATGTCTGCCTAGATTTGGAATACGTGGTTAGTCTTTACGTGAATTGCCTTGCGGAATCAAAAAACGTAGTTGTGGTGGTAACCAGCCATTCACAATAATCATTTCCCTCTGTGCAGCCCTGTGTTCCACTGTACCAAAGTTCTCTTAATCCCCAAGTTCATTCCAGATTTCTAAATGTTGTCTCTTAAGGCCAGGATGCTAATGCCCCGAGGCTTTTATTGTCAGTTTGATTACATTGTGTCATTCACAGCGTTAGAAAGGCATATCATGAAAACAAAAAGGCTTGAGGTTGTTAACAGAAACAAACAAACGTAAAGAGCCAAAAGGGGGAGCAACGCCACCAGAGAACAAGCCGTAAGCACACCACGTTGGTCGGTTTTGGGCCAGGACGATGTTAGGGACGAACAGAGTCCATAGCCAACAGTGTTAGCCTTGACGAAAAGTTTACACTTGTTTATGCCACTTCTATGGATGGTAGTATTTTGGATGACTTGAGCAAAGCGAAAATATATCGCCTGGTATCAATGGAAAGTTTCTTAGGAGAAATTACATATGCATGCCCGTGCAACATGTGCTCCAGGTAAGCTCGTTGAAATTTTCGCACAACATGACAATGAGGAAGCTAACCACTTGAGATTACTAATTTATCGTGCAGGTGAATTCGAAGAGCAAAGTGGTTGTTCAAACAAAATCGTTCCAATCAATGCCTTATAAGACTTGTCATCTCAGCCGGGAATGCTAACGAACTTACCAGAGAGTTATTTGCAAAATCTGTGGCTTGTTCACCATGGACAAAGAGAGTTTGACTGAGGAGCAGTGTGAAAAATGGTTCCAGATTCGTTGGTGTTAAGGGTATTACAAAGGCTCGTGCCCAAGTTTGGCTTGGAGATTTAATGTGCCAAATAGTGGTGATGATGAAAAATGAGTGATTGTCATTTCATCAAGCACTCATGGTTGGGAACCTAAAGGCTCGTAATGCAGTTTAGAGCATTTAGGATGCCAGTAACACTTGCCACCATTATGAAAGTTTACAAAAACACTGACCAAGAATGTCACCAAAAAAGATTTCCTTTGAGGGTGTTACATCTGAAGCTGGAGCTTTTAATGAACAGAAGACCAAGAGAAAGAAAAAGGCAAAGTAGACCAAGAAAATACTTTGCGTAATATGTATACATTGAAAGACAATATTTATTTGTTAATCCTTTGCCTTGTAACTATGGGCAAGGTGAGCCAAACTTACATATTCTGCAAGTGTCTCTATAGTAATTTGATATCATCTTTTCAATCCTTAAGTATCTTTTAAGAATGCTGTGCTGGAGGATATGTCCTTTGGGTTTCTTCTATAAACCTGTTTGGCC